TATTCCCGTTTAATTGAGTTACTCTATGAATTGTGTAACACATTTTATTAGCATTTAATATTATTATAACTGAGCAGAATAACCTTGTAAATGTCAAAAGCAAATAGCGCCGTCCCCTCTCCCGGACGGCGTCGCATGCTGCTTAGTCACCCTGCCCCCCAGTAGGGAACGGGTTCTCAGAATCATGCGTATTCTTGGGCTCCTGCCTGTCATGCTGCTCAGCACTGAGGCCAAAGTTTTCTCTTAAAACCACGTCATCTTCTACTACTTGATCTCAGCAACTCCGGAATAACAACCCATGCTTTTATGATGCCTTTTTTGCTTTAACTTTATTGGGTCAAAACACAGAACAATTCCATTCCACACCAAATTAAGGAGGTAAATGCTTTGTTCTCTTTAATACTGTTAAATTCTGTTTTCTGTTTAATACGGAAGCTTTTGAAACTCTGGTCTCTAAAAGTCATAAGATGCTTTTCTGGTAATGCACTTTCTCCAGTCTCCTGCCATCTTTTATGTGGCCCTAAGGACTCTGCTTTCTGTATTTCTGTTCTGCCCTTTCTTCAGAGCCATTCTCTCATCTCGGCACATACGTCCCGGAAATGTCGAGCAGCATTTCTCTGGTGCTCAAGAAATGTCACGTCACTCAACTGCTTCATATATGGTTAACGCTGACTGTGCATTTCCTTCCCCAGCTGAAACAGAAGAGCTTTGCTGGGTTCTGAAGAAGAGAACGCTTCAGCAGCCTGACCTGTACATGAAGGTAATCTTCACCCTGTTACCTTGAGGGACTGGGGCGTTCAGTCACATTCCACGTGAGCTCGGGTCAGAACAGTTTTCCGACTCTTGTTCCATCAATAGGACCTCAATAAAAGACTGAGTGAAACTGATTTAGTCAAGAACAATCTGGTGGTTCAGTGCCTGGCAGGAAAAAAACATTTTGTACTTCTGGGAGCCTATTTGAATAGTGATATCCTGAGTAAAAAGCACACTTTGAGTACACAGAGTAAAAAGCACCGCAGAAATCATTCTTCTCAGATTCTGTCTGATGCTCACAATCAAATAGTCCATACTTACTAACATAAAAGCAATACCATGGTTAATAGTTCCAAGTTGAATACACAAATAAAGCGAGTAGTTAACAATTACTTTGAGGGCATGGATTTCTCTCGAAGCAGCAATCTTTGGTTGTCAGTGTTATGTTATGGTGAGCTTGGCAAGGCATTTTCCTTATCCTGGCCAGAGGGACAACCAGAACACATCCTGGGTTTTTTGGCAGCCTCAGCATAGCTTTCTGAGAGCTTGACTGAAGTGTCTGTTTGAACTGATCAAGCAACGCATTAATATTTCAGCACCTGGCAGCTTATGTCTGGCAAGAATTACTTTGCGGGCTTTTCTGCCATTTTCTTTGTGCCAGGCCATCCATTACTTTGGACAAACAGGTGGCCAGTCCTTAGCAGCTGTCCCAACATCTCTGACCCATCTTTCCTTATTGATACAGAGTGACAAAGACCAAAAAGATGATGCGTCATTCAATATTTATTTAAGTCATGTTGTTCAGCAGTTAATTAAATCTGAAAGCGATTTTAAAAAGCTCATTAACTTTACTTGTTTCACATATAACCATCCATAAACCTGAATTCTCCCCAAAGCAATTTCCTGACTTCCCCATGCAACTCATCAAAATGATAACAACAATGAAAAGAGTCTGTCTCATCCAATAGGGTTTCTCAATTAAAACATATCGTTAATGTTTGCTGTGACAGTATATTAGATACTCCTACTCTCCTTTATATGTTCCTAGTTGTGCTTTAATTACAAAATTTATGTACTGTCCATAATTCCAAAGGAAATGCAAAGGTGTCAAGAGATTGTTACGGAGTGAGCCCCATTCAGGTGATTGCCCCTGCGGGTGGTCATGAAAATTCCTCTCTTCAAGCCCATGTCAAAGGTGTCAGGAGATTGTTACGGAGTGAGCCCCCATTCAGGTGATTGCCCCTGTGGATGGTCATGAAAATTCCTCTCTTCAAGCCCATGTCAAAGGTGTCTATGCGAAACCAGGAAGTCAAGCAAGGGCAGCCAGCCCAGCAGTTTCATTTGCTGACTGAATTCTGTTTCAAGGCTTAAATTACCACCAATTCATACCCCTTTAGCTTCTCAGTCTGACGGACTCAGGAAATGTCTAAAGGTGGGTATCTCACATGGATAATATAACTGTTTGTAAGAGTTTAAGGACATGGTAATCTGACATTTACAGAAGGGCACTGTCGTAGTATTCTTCAGTGCCTGACTTTGCCTGAATAGCTCTAAGTCATTTAAGATGAAAAGTGTCATTCATGCAATAAATCAGCCAAGACGAGACAGAATTAAACCATCAAGGCAATTGACTTCTGAAGTTGGCATACCTACCGGCATGTACCTTTATTGCTGAAACTCAGCTTTCCCGCCAGTGCTTCTCACAATGCCACAACTGCTTATTTTCTGTTTTCACTGTGGAAAAATTTTATGCATGACCATGTAACTTTATAATTGCTACTCAGACCTAGAGTTTCTAAGGCTATTACAAAAAGAGAATAGTTTTTCTTATTATTATGGGAGACAGATGTCATGCCCTGTCTCCCTCAGTCCTGTCCTGCACCCATTTGGCCAGCAGAGGTCCCCCCGGCCGAGCATCCCATGTCCCCAATCATTAACACCTGTCCCTCATGTCACTCTCATTGGTTCTCATTACAACCCTCACCTGTGTCTGGTTATCCCTCGTCCATTGTGATCATTTCTTATACTTGTCTGTCCTTAGTACTCGCTGTATATATGTGCCCCTCCGTCCTGTACTCCATATGCAAACTCCCGGTAAGTCTGTGTAGGGAACTCATTACTCACTACTGTAATCTCTTGAATAAAGGCCCCTTCGAGGTTTGATAACATTCAAGGCTGCCTCTGGGGTTTTTTATGCCTCCCAGTGTTACCAGACATGACAACAGAGAACATTTTTGAACAGATGCATTTGCCTGTGATGAAAACACACTAAATACAATTCATCCTTAACTTGTTGAATAAATGTAAAGTAACAAGGTTTAAAGATTAAACTGATGTCACTCCTCTCATTTAATGAAAAAAAAATAGCTGCCGCTTCTTGGTTTAAATTGTGTCTTCAATAAGTTGTCATAAAAAGGATTAAACAAATGTACAGACATGCTGCATTTGTATAATTCCACAGCTGAATTGCAATTGTTCTATTGCTGAAGCAGTGGCTGACAGAAAATGAAAGATAAAAGAATATGAAAGATGTTGGTTTGTTGCAAGAGTAAAGAATGTTTTTAGTAATATTATTGCCCTTAATACATTCTATTGACCTGTGGATGGGCCGATTTTATTTTAAGGAGATTTTAATGTAGCAGAAAAATTCTTCCATGGCCCTGAATAGCATCTAGAGAAAACGTAGACAAAATCAACAAGCAATGGAAACAATGCACAGCTTACTTCGCATAGAGAGAGCAGTGGGCATTGAAACAGTAGCATTCTGGGGTTCAGATGGGGAAACAATTAGACTGCTAGGCTACACATGAAAGTGTAGATCTTGATGTAGATTGTGTTGCCTCACAGGCCATTGAGCCCTGATCCAAAGAGAGGGCCAGCAAGCTACTCTGAAATGCAGACAGCAGCTGCTCCGAGGGGGACCTGTCTCCCCCTGTCACCCCATTAGCCAACAACATTTCACAGGCAGAGCTGTGGACTGGGCAGACTGGCAAGAAGCCCAGAGTCTGCGTCACAACTCCCAGCTCCATAGTCTGCAGCCCCTTCCCAGTCAAAGCAAGAACGGACAGCCGACTTAGATGATATTTCTTAAATGATTCTTTCAGTCTTTGATCGCTACTTATAGTTTGTTTTTTTCAAATCTGAGTGCATTTTTAAACCATTCGCTGCTCCCTGTATTTTTTGCGTCAAGTATGCAGACAATTCTCACAGTCTGCAATGGAAACTTCTTGCATTACACAGCAAACCACATCACAAATACATTTTTTTTCAGTTTTTAAAATTGCAACATAAATTAAACAAACATGCATCTGTTTGACGTTAGATAAAAATTAGATTATCTAAGCAGCTACCAAAACATGAATTCTACTAAAGGTCATTATTAATATTTATTCCATGCTATAGTTAAATTGCTACAGCAGCATGGAGACTGCTGAACTCAGTTAACATAAATTATATAAACTAGAAGAATGGAATTAACAGGCACAGGAGCAACCGTTGTGGACAGAGATATTTAAATGCCGCAAACCGGGCTTTGATGGACCATATGGAAGACAATCCTCTAATTAATTAAAACCTATTATGCAAAATCAAATCCACTTGTACTCTTACTTATTTATGTGCTCATTTGCATTCAGCCTCTGTCCATATCTTGGTCATCAGCAGCAGCAGCTCTCCATGCTACTATGCAGTAGGGGGACTGAGCAGTCATACACCTATGTGGTTGTATCTACAACATGTTGCAACGCCAGATTTTCTTTTAGAGTATATTTTAGAATTGATGAAGACCTCATTGAAAAGAAAATCCATAATCATAATCCACTCTTTTAGAATCACGCTAGATATCACAACTGTTGCTAAATGTAAATGTAAAAAGTAAAGGTTATAGTTATTTTTAATGAGTGTCACATTCATAGTAAGGAATAAAGGAAGTAGAATTTTTAATTGGATGTTTAGGTGTTTAAAAGTATGGATTCTGAAGTCAACAAAGTACTGTACTGTAGTCTTCTTGATCCTGGGACTGTTTGAATCATTTTAAGTCTCTTTGAATGCAACTAAATCTACCAAGAACAGACAAAATTAAACCATCAACCTTTAATGTCCAAAGATATTAAGAGTAGTAGTAATAATATTGCAATACTGGCAAGATGGTCATTTGGCATGAATTTTGTCAACGTTTTCATGTGTCCCTGCTTACCTGCATGTATAAACACCTACAGAACACTTGCATCAAATGAAGCTTTACTTACCATTGTGAAGTTCATAACTTTGAGGATCCAGATGGTTAGTGCAAGATTAACCAGGATTAAAACCATCAGAAGCAGCACGAAGCAGTAAAGGCAGCGCTTCCGCCACCCATAGATGCCCACTTTGTACGACACTTGTGGTTTCTCTGCCGTCTGAACATTGTTCCTGTCAGCACACTGTTCTTGGATCATCTGGAAAAGGATGAGAGATAGAGAGATTTTTTTTTAAAAAAAAAGCTGTTTATGAGACACTTTAAGAAAGTGGGCTTTAAAAGGGGCCAGATCCTGTTTCTGTCCATTCAGTGGGATGTTGAAGTGAAGTTATTTAAATTAAACGCCTCACTCAGTGCCACAATAACAACAACTAAGTGCCTTTATGGGAAATAAACCATAATAAGTCTGGTGACACTTGAGGTCGCTTACCCCCTCTTTTATATGGCAGATAATTCTGTTAAAAATGGAAATTGGATTGTGACTACATATATTTCCGTCTTTCCGTACCAACTATATCCTGTCTTAATTGTACAGCATAAAATAAAATAAAAAACTGAAATGTTTTGTCCAAGCAGCATATTAACTGAAATGAACTAACCACCTAAAATGTGAGCTTCCAGTTTTATTGGAGAGATAAGACTTCTATGACTAAGATGAAGACTTTGCACTAAATGCAGTTTCGCTCAAAATAAAAGTTTGCAATCATTGTATAGCTTTTTTTTATAATCTCACATTTGGGAAATCCGTATTTGCTCCTTAGCAGATATAGCACTTATCCTCTGCCTCCTATTCTGAGGTGGGAGCGAGTAGCATGGTGTCCTGGCGCAGCTTCATGTCAGTGAATTACCCACCATGATAACTACGAAAGATTGAGATGTTCCTTTCAACAATTATCATTCAGGAAACTTGTCCCTCCACAGCGATAATGTACAAGTAGATGGATGAGTCCCCAGCTAACAAGGAGTAAAAACAACATTATCAATGCCGTCGTGAGTTAATCCCGCTGTGAGCGTGCATCTTCATTATATATCACTTTGGCCAATCCCTCTTGGAAGGTGGGTTGGCTGAATCCCATATTTGCTGGAGTTCTGCTGTATCTTTTCTGATCTGAAACATATAAATGAGGGGAAAAAACCCTGCAGGCAGTTGTTTGATGAAGTGGGGGAATCATTGAGGTAATTACGCGTGAAAACGTGGAGGAGTATGTGTGCACTATGTGGGTATAGCAGACATCTTCAAGCGTCTGTGCCGGAAGGTTGCCGGTTCAGCCCCGGCCTCAGCAGAACAGTCACATGTCTGTGGGCCCTTGAGCAAGGCCCTTAACCCCCAGCTCCATGGGCACCGCTGCAGGTGGCTGCCCTTCACTGCCAGGCTTACTCTCACCTACATGTGTGTCTGTATGTCATGGAGAGCAAGATGGAGAAGCTGAAGAGAATGTCCCCATGGGGATCAGTAAAAGTGTCATTATTATTATTTTTTGTTTCCATTGTAGGAAATACCACCCAACCTCTCTCTCAGTTTCAGCTCTGACTTTTCTCTTCTTCAGTGAAGTAAACTGATTGTGGGCAGCATTGTGTAGAAGGGAATAAGTGCACAAAAGGTCAAACTGTGCAGAATGGGCTGGTAAGTGGCTGAGCTACTGATATGTCTGAGCAAGTGAGAACCTCTTATACTGGTAACAAAGAGCATTGGAACCCCCAGCTGACCACTGCAAGGGGAAAAGTCATGTATGGTGTTATAATATCGGTACTTAATGTCTGCCTTTTGTGAAAGGCGGGGCTGTAACAAGACGGAAATAATACTTCAAAAGCCTCCAAATGAGTGGAATTTTGCTTCAGGCTGTAATAAATTTCTCAATCAATACAACGTAAACAAAAAAGCTTTAGCTGGCTGTTTCATAAACTGAAAAAGTGGTTGACGTCCAACCAGCAGGTCTGTTATCGTAAAGTTTGCTGTTCATTAAGCAATGGAATGTTGTTGTTTTTTCTTTTCACTTAGCCTTGTTACGGGCTCACAAAAGCTTTATTGTCAGGTAATTGCTCTGGTTATTTTTAAGTAAAACCAACACAGGTAAATTATAATGTTTGTTAAAACTGAAGAGACTGAGTTACTTCTTCCAGCGCAACTACTTTTTAATTTGTTAATATGTGCTGTTATTCAGCCTTTTTGCCAGTCATGTCAGCAATGTAATCCTTTCTTTTTCATGTTTTTATGTTTTCTGCCAGTCCTGTAAATTGTGTGGGAATTATCTATACAGGACTGAAATTTGCAAATGGTAAAAACAGGCAAATTATTTCATGGTATATGCAAAACTATTATTAAAGGTTTTATCTATTGTGAAAAAGCTATTTACAAATTTGTTTAAAAAAAGGTGACCACATGTAAATAAGTTAAAAAGAAAAAAAGATCACATATTTTTTCCCCACAAATAGTTGAATTCAATGTTACACTCTTTTCGTTATAAATTCACCACACTAGAGACAGTTTGCTCCCATCCACTAGAGGGCGCATGGTGTGGGGAATATGCGGGCATGCTGTGGTCTGTAGTCAACCTGAACGCAACTTCAACACTCCCTGCCTGCTCTTTTTCCAATAATGGGGTGAATTGAGTCTGGGAAGGTAATATATCCATCTATCCATCCAATCACTACTGCAGTACAGGGTCAGGGGGGACCTTGAAGGCTTTGGATGGGATGCCAGTCCATCACAGGCCCCACACACATATACACACATGATTAATCCACAGCCCAAGGTTTTGATCAGTAAGTTTCACCTGGAAGAGCTGTAAATGTCACAGTGACCTTCTCCACAATGTTGCAGATGGCACAATGCTCCTGTGGTCACATTTATTGACATGCCTTGCCTGATTCCAATACATTTCTGTTAAGATTCACTCTTCAGTGGAAATGCTAAATGAGAATTTTGTGACTGATTGCATGATACTTGTATTTTTAATCCGTTAATTGATCTTTTAATTCACAAGATGAATAATTAAAATGAAAAAGTTGGTACTAAAGATAGTTAAAGAGATAAATTCAAAATGAGTAAATTAATATTTAGGATAAATATATATTCCATTATTTATTAATATCTGTACTTAAAATGCAAATTAAAAAATGCAACATAAATTTGGCATTTTGAAAAGGAATTTAAAAAATATACAGAATAAACAACACAAATCAGTCATTTATATTTACTCTAGTGAAAAACACGCGTGACGTGAGCAGCAAAGTGAAAGGCAGACAAGGCTGAGACAGACGTGGCTGCGTGACGGTTCTCCTTCACAGTCCTCTGGTGGCCTCATTACCGGCTTTTGTGCAGGAATCTCTCCAGGTCTCTTTACCGTAACAAACACTCACCATACCGACAGCAGAGCACACTCAACTCAATACACATTCCCAGCTGTTTTTCTATAGTTGCCACACAAATATACAAATATTCCCATCCTAAGCTGCCAAATGCTATTGTTATTAAATTAGGTTCAACTGCAGAAGATCACAAATTCGCTGAGTGCAGACTCACCAAGAAATGCAGAAACTATTACTCTATCTGTCCTGTTCCTTTAACTATTAAGTAGGTGCTGTGCCCCCCGCAGTGGCAATATGGTTTCAAACTGAGGGGAAGTATTCAAAATGCCTGGACATCTCCTTAGCAGAACAGAAAAGTTTTCTCAGTGTACAGCAGTCCCTCACATTAATAATGCTGGAGAAAGTAATTCCCGTTGACAGTGACCCTTGTGGATTTCTTCCCTGTCACTATAAATCAGTGGTGCTCAGACTTTGTGCCGCACGTCAGCCGGGGTGAATGTGGGATGGAAATGAAGTCGAGTGAACCTGTTTCATGTGGGGGGAATTATTGAATAAAATGTGAAATGTAATATGCGGTGCATCTTCTTGATGTTATTACAATAAAAAATGTGTATTAAACTTGGCTCATTTTGCTACAAATTTTCCTAATAATGATGGTTGATTGGCTTATGCTGGAAGTGGAGGCATTAAAATTTTTATGCTTCCAAAACAGGGCATAGCAGTAAAAGTTTGAGAACCATTGCTACAAATTAAGCCAGTTTATCTCATTGCTGGGAGATCCTGGTAACAGTTTCAACAATGTAACCTTGTTTTAATCAGTCTCCCCAACAAATATACAACATATAATAATATAATGTGACCATTTAAATCCTTAGATCCCAGTCAGACAGAACTGGGCCTTCTACTGATACAGAAGCCCGAAAGCTCTCTCCCAAATTAAAGACACTCGCATAATCGTTGTGCTATTAAGAAGCCCATACGAAAAACAAAAAGTTTTTGTCCCTTCACTCAACTGCTCTTTGCAAAGCTACCTGTGAGAAACAATAAAATCTGAATTCAATACACAAGTCTAGCCATCTTTTACACTAAAGCGATATTTAAAATATCTTCCCTTTGGTGCATTTAAGACTGTTTAATGGCATCACACTCTCTGGCCCCGTGTATTAGCAACGTGCCGCAAACACAAGCCGTACAAAGAATACAGAGAAAAAAGGAAAATTATTATAATTACTCTGCATCATCTATTCATCCATTCAGCCATTGATCCATACATTCACTTTATAACCACTTATCTCAGTCAGAGTTGTGAAGTCGTGGTGATACATTATCTTTTAAATAGCTTTTGCACAAGATTAGGGAAAATGAATGAAATGTATTGTAATTTTACTTTTTTGAGACACCTAGGAATAAAACTTCATTTAATTACTGCATGTTTACCACGTAAAGAATAACTAAAGAAGTGAAGTTACAAAATATTGTATTGTACTGTGCTATATTTTACCTTTATCTTATTGAAAAGGCAATTTGAATCAGAAGAAGGTTGTGAACACAGGGTCAGATCTGTAAATTAATGATAGGTGTAAACTATATATGAGTTTTTTTTTTAGTTAAAATCTGAATGATAAGAGTGACAAAGATTCATTCTGCTTGATTTATATTTCACAATTGATATTCTCTTTGTTTATGACTGTATATTCATATGTCTGCAGTGTTTTACCTAGGAAAAGCTATTTGCAGTAGTCAACGATTGATGAATGTTCCCATTCAGCGTAACGCTGGGGTAAATAGAAAGGCAGGAATATGTGGCTCTGTCCTCATGCAAGGTACTGTGCTATAAATTGTTTGAAAATATTTGTACAATTCAAGTACTTTTATGGGCTACTAATATGCCTCTAA